TATAAAACATTTCAACAATGGGGACACACTTACCTATATTCACCTCATCTGATTTGCTTCTCTTTAAAGGACTGCTCAATGGGCTTGTTGGAAAGATGATGGGAACCCTTTGTCTAGAGCTGTGCTTAGGGCTATGTGACACATCAGACATATCACTGGCAGACAGCCTTGAGGCATCAGTGTCAGCATCAGAGCTCGGTGGAGAAGGAGGTAAGGCATCGTCGGATTCAAATGTTGCAGAAGATCTAGACGATCTCGCMGATGAGGTRGAATTTCCTGTTTTTTCTTTAGTTTTGCCGGTGTCCCATGAATCCCAATAGATTTCAGAAGTGCTATCTTTATGGCCTTGCTTTTGTCTCTCTAAAAGTTGCAAAAATAGATTTATTAGCGAAGTTCTGCCTGCCCCARCTGTTTGACCAACTTGGATGATTTTCAATGTGAATTGATGGAGCATTACTATATAGTGTAAAGTCTATTRAAATAACACAGTTCAAGTTTGAAGTGCAAAGTTTTTACCACTTTGGTTAAATCACTCATCTTGTGTATGATAAATTAAGTCTTGCTGCAAATGCATTATGGCAATTTTGGCAAACTTGTTTCTTTGGTAATCCAATAAAAATGGTATCACCAATATGTAGCGATTGACTTCCTTTTTGTCATTTGCTCAGATATTTTTGCATGTTGTCACACCCATTTGAAGAATATTCTGAATGAACACTTCTTATCTTGTTTTCCATCAACTGTTACTTCAAATGTCATGAGCAAATAATTAACKTCTCTACTGACCTGTGTATGCATGAAGGTGTTGTAGAGCTGATAAAAGCCTTCTGCTTTCCTCCTCACCATTGTAGTAACCATTCAAAACATTATTCACTTTATCACTTGGAAGTGACAAAAGCCCTTCTACCGAGCCACACTTTTTGGAAAGTTGCTGAAAGAGAATGATAAACAATAAACTAATGCCTGGTTTTTACTACAAAACTGTGAAAGTTTATGAAAACAACAACARTCTAAAAAACTAAGCACACTAACCTTTTAATGAAATTATATTTAATAATTCTGATACAACATGCAYAATTTTCATTATATCAAAGCCCCTTAGAAAGTATGCAGTATGATTGCTGACATTTTTTAGGTAGCACTCATGCAAGTCAATTCAAAAAATATATCAGTGATGATATCCCATAATATTAAGGGTCAGTTTTATATATTGGAAATATTTCAAAAAGGTCAAAATTATCACAAAAAGCCACATTATATATATATATATGTAGCTTACTGTAAACATCATTGAATCACTAGACAGAAAACAATATTTTCCTCTTGAAATTGCATTTAGAATGATTAACGTTTTTRCAACAGAATTATAAACATTTCTTGTGGTGCARCATTGGAAGAGCTACAAATCTGTTTGTAWCTGGATTCTGGATTTTCACACAAAAAAAGACTCAAGCATAGAACTATATAGATCTTCTTTTTTTTATCAAATATATGATAAACAAGAAAAACAGGAAAAGGCGAAGAAGGAGTAATTATAATGAGCTCCGCCCCCGGATCACAGATAAAAAGAACAAAATCCAAAATAAGCTTGCAGCTTTGTGCTTTTCAATAATAATTTCTGCAGTAGCAACATTTAAGTGAAAATATATATTATGGTAATAATGTTACAGCTTGACTCTTTAGCACTGCTTTGACGGGTTGAAGTTATTTGTATTCTAGAAATTCCACATTTTTGGAAGATTAAAGTTTAAACAAAGGAGWAACTGACTGGCATGAATTTGTTAATGCTGTCAGATTTAACATTTTTTCTACGTAATTTAGGCCTTTATTGCTTATCCCTTGAGATATACTTTTAACAAGTGTCTTTTATCTGACATTCWGGTTTACAAACTTCAAAGGACATTGAGTTAATGACTGATAAACAATAGAACAAAAGAACCACCCCTCCCTCTAATCAAACATTGCCATGATTGTCTCTTGTATGAATTATTCAACACATCTAGACTTCTATTTGAACAACAACAATTGCCAGACATGAATTTATTTATTTTGCAATTTATATAGATAATTCGTATGAAATTTCTYCAAAGGAAAAGCAATATGATTTGGACTATTGATATGGTTGTAAACTAAACCTAAAAAAAATGCCAAAAATACCCTACAGACAAAAATACAAATTTGAAAATTCTTCATATCATCTGATGTTCAATTGATTGTTAATGCTTATCCAATATACAGGGCACAGCAGGGGTGCTAATAAAACAGAAGAAAACATAACTGAAACTCTGTGAATCAGTTATTGATTAACTCTAAAACAGGAAGCTGATATGCAGCAGGTGCATTCTTGATTAGTAAGAAACATGAACCTAAGTGGATTTGCTTTTCAAATAACTACTTTCAGCAATACATGCATATATATGAACATTTCTAGTACTTTCAGTTTTTTCAATGAMTGTCATTATGTTCCAAAATATACAAAAGATACATAGCATGAGTCATGAGATAATTCTATGAATCCTTGACTTTTATCAAAAACAATTTTTTGTTATTATTATTTTTTGCAGTTTTGGCATATCCAATATTCATATCTAATCTCTTTACATTATTTCTATCAAGTGCAGACAATATACAAAAGTTTCTTAAGACACACAATGTTCAGAAACTCAGATATTACATATTAAAATTAATAAAAAAAGTGTATGCAATTTTGGAAGTCAAAATATTTTTATTAATACGCGGTTCTAATCAAAGGTGTAGGCTGTTTCATTTTCAAAATATCAGCTTCCAATCTATCAAACTAACGAATTATCATGATAATAACATCCTGGTCCAATGAACTCAAAATACTTAACCTTCAAAGCTATGCTAAAAAGACTGCATTATAAAGTCCTTAAGGGAGCTATTGATCTTGTTATTTTTGTGCCATTTGTGCGCTGCAAAAGTGGCCTCCTTCTAGATTATTCGTGATAAATACTGGACAGCACTCAAGAGATAGATTGCTTATCGTGAATGGAAAGACTTTATACTAAACCTCACGTTATTYCTAGAGAGTTTTTTAAAAAGTAAAATTTTGATTTAAATTCGAGATGAGTCATCAAGGTCATCAATGCTTCTCTGTAAACATTTTCAAGAAAAAAATAGCTATACTCTAAACGGTACTATACCTATTTATATACGTAGACTCAATATATTCAAATATGTCTCTTTCGAATTCTTCAGTACGCAAAGCCCAATTGTGTTAAAGAAATCACTCTTGTAATTAAACCAAACAAATAAATGTCACATAAATGTAAAAAATCCCTGAAACGTTAAGAAAATACACGTCTATTTTGTTAAATAGTCGTGAGCATTTAGGAAGAAATGCAAGACTATTATTATAAATATGGCAGACAATCACATATCACCAATCAAGCGGTAAACTTACTTCTATTGCGTCTTCGTTGACTCCTACAACCCTAAGCCACTGCACTAAGCTAGGATATTTACTAAGTTCTCCTGTTTCAACACCATCATTGATCACTGAATGTTTGGCGACGAGCATCCGAGAAAATAGCTTCACAAGTTTCCCCTATTAAGAGAAGATCAGTTAGCAGTGAATAAGTTTTGCGGTCGTAACTTTTCGTTGGCATATATATTTTATATATATTTGGGTGTTGTATCTATGTGCGATGAATGACACATTTTCACAGTCTAAAAACGGGAGTCTAAAAATCAAGTTCTGAGAGTTTGAGGTGTTAAGGTTTTATCACAAAAATATGTTTTAAAACGCGTAGCTGTAACAAACTACTCAATGTGAGCTTGGCAAGACGATGCAATTTGCAATTTTGAGCATATCACGAGATCCTTAGAAATGATTATTTAGGAGTAGACGAATAATTTGATTCATTGACAAAAATTATTTTATCCTGTATAGGCATAAGATCTGGTTAATTCAAAGGACTTGTATAAATCGATTCGTGCTAATTCAAGTGATGTAAATACAAGCCTGCTTAGTGCTAGGTAACTTGTGCAACAAACATAAATCAACTTCATATCTGTTAATCCTTTGAAATATGTCACTCGCATGTCAAAAAGAAGAAAAATTGCCAGTTATATCAAAAAAGAATCACACCAAGAAATACGTAGGTCTAGAAGAAGATATCTTGAATCTGTCGTGCAGCGTTCGATATGCTTGAAAATGGAGCTTTGCAAAAGTCCTTATAGGCTATCACGCTATAAGTGTTTGAGTTACCATCCCATTCATACCTCAACTGTCCGTATTTCTTGCTGGATTAGGTTAGTATCGGTAGCTCCTTCTACACGCAGACTGTGTAGTTTTGTAGCAGATATATCGATCATCCGCTGTACCATTTGAAGTTGATTTAGCAGATCATCCATCGCTTCGCTCATCGTTTCGGTGGATTTGGCACTTTTGAGCTACATAAAAGGCAAAACTATAATTCAAAAACACTAACTAGCTATCATGGAAGCTGAAGACCATCTAAGGCTTGGACATTTTCCCGATTTTTAGGTTACTTCTTCTAATAATTCCATCAGTTTTCTCGGGGGTTGAAACTTGGACTACTCTTCCGCAATAACTAGGGCACTGGGAATGAGCACGTGACTTGCTAGACGCATAAATTTTACTCGGCAGAAATAATCATGAAAACGTAAAAATTCAAAGTAGGAAAAAATACAGCTTGTTCAACAGAATATATCTRTGTATATCAAAAAAGCGTTATATTATTTCGAGAAAAACAACTAATAAAGTTCAAGGTTATCAAGACATCGATTGCGCTAATTTCTCAAGGCGGTTCGAAAGTCATTGCTTTCTAACATAATATTCAACAACATCTGATATAGCAATAAAAATTGCAATATACACTTGGATTCATTTCATTGAAAGTAGATTTGAACAGATTTTTCATACTATCTCATTTTCGTGGAATCTGGGACTTGTTTGTTTAAACTGTTGGTGAAAAATTCACGGTGAACCTTTGCGCATTTGAATTCTTATTCAAATCTTTATTTCTTTTGGGAATTAGCTGCCAAACAATGCGTACAATAATTACATCACAAACGATAGCAAACGACGCTGTCTGGAAATTCATATTATTTGCGGATCCAACTGGCCTCAATAAAAAAAACTTCAACATATTATAGTTTTTAAGAGCTGTCAAAATATTCGGTAACCTTTACATTCTGTATATATGGCATTTACTTGTCTGATAGTAAGCCTATCGAAAAATGTTTACATTTAGTTTCTTTAGAGTCTACTAGATTTTCAGGACAAAGCTTCTAAAGTTTTTATCTAGAATTTCAGGGATCAATTTATCTGAAATTTTAAAAGGGCGATGAAATTATCAATTTCCAAGTGGACACTGCTTGCTGTTGTGAGAAAGCGCGAAAATTAGCAATGTAGTCCTATAGCTGGGCTGCCTGTGCTGTTTCCTTAAATAAGTCTGACAGAAGTGCATGTCAAAAGCCGTAGATAAAGATATGACTACCAGCACATCTCCTAAAGCTGTCAGAATATAAATTTCAGTGAAATGTATATACTTCCCGCGAAAATCCGTTATCGCCGATTCGGCGCGCATAAATTCCAAGAGGTCACCTGAGTGCTCACGATGACGTTATTCCGACTTTACGACATCCATAGTGARCGGCCCGAAAGCAACGTTAACTTTTAACAGAATGAATCGAATCATCATTGGCGGGTCAACGATCAAAGAGGTGTCGAAAGGAAACTTCATTTTTTTTTTTTTTTTCGGGTAATGCAAGCATCAAACAAACAAAAGATAAATGCTAGAACCCTAACCAATTTGAAAATCTTCGTTCCCCCACTGACTTCTTCATGAATGGCTTCCTTGACATCTATGAAAAAAAGCTTTTTGTTGAAATTATCTTCGAAGGTGAATCAGATGCTTACTCCCAAGTTTTTTACTAAATCTCATTTAAATCTTTGTTTTGTTATAAACGTTTTCAGTTTGTGCTACCAGGCAGAAATTTACCTCAATAATGACGTGCAATGGCTTGTTATCTTCGCAAGTTGCGATTTTTTTTAGATAATTTCAAGTGTTCTTATCAATATGTTGTGCTGTTTGTATAATTTTGAGCAACAACTTGTTTTTCTATTAGGTTTTTTTTTGTGTTTATTTTTTCATTTTATAGTCAAACTTTATTCCAAACATCTATCCTGTATACAGCCGTATAGAGCTTTTGTTTACACTTTTGACGGATATTTTGAGGTCATGTCACCTGAATTTATAGATATTTGTTTACTGAATTCTGTCTTGTTCCTCACACCTGGTCAGGTCATCGTAATTTTCAGCCTTTCAATCAAAAGCAGAAAAATATAAATGCATACGAAAACGGCGACAGTTTCTAGACAAGTTGCAACATTTACTTTTGATTTTGAGCAACTTTGCAGAGGACATGGATCGGAGATTCAAATTAAGTTTGCAGAGTGCAACTGTGTTTTTTTTCCTTCAAATTTTGAGCGATATTTGAATTTCTGAGTCAACTTGGTGCCGCTCACTGATAAAATAGTCCAGCGGTACGTAATTATAGTGACTTGACTAGTTCTCCTTGACTTTTTACACGTACCCTGCTATGCAGGGGACGTGTAGTAAAATGCTGACACTTTCTTGGTTTTTTTTTTNATTAAAATATAAGGAGTGATGCTGAGTGACCCTAGTGACCCTTGTAATTACCTTCAATGCCCACACCAAATAGTTGTTCCTGCTTTTTTACAATAAATTTACTTGATGTCTCCTCTTCATAGTCTCTCAGAACCTGTTTGGCGCTTTCAATACTAGTTACAAAACCTTCATATGCTGACTTCCATGCACTTTCCTGTATATCGGCCATTACATCGGTTTCACGAATAAAACCGGACTGATTAAATTACTTTAAAATTGCAAAATATTGACATTCCATCTCAATTATTCAAGCCGAGCTCTTAATTTATTCATAGAGCCGCCATATTGAATTTTCCGACTATTTCCGAAGATGATCTCGGCTCCAGGCCTTCTCGATACCTCCTTCTCGAGGATGCCATCTAGCCACGACCTGTCGAAATTCGGCAGGCATCACACGCTCCCCTTTTCTCGCCCCCATTCTCCCTCTTTTGACTCCTCAAAAAGACAGGAAGCCCGTGATTCTTAGTGATGCCTGCGGAGGAGGCTAGTGTTACTATCATATCAAAAGTTAATAAAGCGTCACGTTGTAACCAAATCATGCCTAGTTATATATCTCCGGGTATATCTGACCTTAAAATTATACTGCAGAATCACAAAGGCAGTTACAACTGAAATTTTAAGAGCCACCACATATAAGCTTATCGCAAAAATCACATATATCTTGGCAAGGCTCGATGGATCAAATCATTTCTTTATTCTGTATCAGTAAGGTTTTAATAAGGCCTCATTTACTAATGATCTCACAACATCATGCACAACAAAGGGTACGTGTCAACCCTGCATACAGGGTCTAGTTTACTAATGATCTCACAACATCATGCACAACAAAGGGTACGTGTCAACCCTGCATACAGGGTCTAGTTACAACTTGTTATAGTTGTCTACGTTTTTTGCATTTCGCATGGCGTTAAGGTAGATATTAGTTACTAAAACAGAGTTCTGAGTCAAGTTTGAAATGTTGTGTCTCGTTCTTCGTTGTGCCAATGATGAAGCGTCGATAATACCATTATATTCTAGCCAATCAGCGCGATAGGCGAGGTACGGGCATTTTGCGCGTTATTCGTTCATTTTTTATTTCGTCAATGTGTTGGCTGTAAGTTTTTGACCTGAAATTACTAGAACTTTCAACGAAAGATAAAATATTCAGAAATTTTATTAGGTATACTGAAAAGCATTGAAATCATTTCACCGGTAGAGAGCGTTTTCCTAAGGGTTAGACAGTCTCATGCTCAACTAATTAACTACACTATGTCACTGATAAAAGTATAGGCTTCCAACAAGACCAAAACAATCAAAGCGCGCGTTATTACATAGCTCGACGAAAAGTAAAAAAAATATCAATGAGGCTACTTACAAAAATAGTAGAGGCTCATTCATTTGACCATGCAGCCGAAAATAGTTATTAATTGTTCAAARAGAACAAAAAATAATAATAAATTCAGAGTGTATTACTAACTATTAGTCACACAGGACTTTCAAACCACTCTATACTCCGATTATACTATGGCGTAGTAAATGTTGGACACGAACACGTGGCCGACTTGTCGTTTGAACTATTTCATGCAAAATTTGCGTGAAAACCCGAATACATATGCTATTAAAATTTGACGTCGCGTGGAACGTTTTCGTTGTACGACCTTGCTTCGTGTACTATATGTCAGTGGCCGTAATTTCCTACATCATGAAAGTGAGGCTATACTTACTATAACATTTTCCGGCACGTCCAGGCAGGGGACACTTCGACACGACTTCATTCCATATGACATTTTCCTTTTTCCTCTCCTAGGGATCAATTTCAGTCGTCGAAGCCGCGACATTTTGCCGGATCGAACTTGAATATCAGCCCTGTAAAACAAGAAAAACATCAACAACAAGTTGAGGCAAAAAATTTTTTTTTTCACTTTTTTTTAGTCTGCCAATCTAGGTAAGTGCAACCTTGTACTACATTACTTGTATTTCATATCATACCTTGAGCAGCAAAACATGAACAAGCAGTTTTCTCCTAAAAAACTCTCCCTCTCAGGTATTTTCTTACTACTTCTAGATCTCCTACAGTACTCCGCCAATGCAAAATATTCCCAGCTAAATCCAAATATACTCTATTTTTTTCTCACCTTATCTCAAATGTTATTGCTAAACAGAAATTATCATTCGAAACATGWCCATATTTGTAAATAATCTCATCATAATTCAGTCTCGACATTCAAAATAAATAGTCTTCAAAGATACAGATCGCATCTTCGTTTAAAAATAGGCCATGAGCTCCTTCACTTCGTTTTCATCTGTCGAGGTACACAAGTAGTTTAGTGTACTAGTCTCATGCAAAAGGAACGGTAGTTCGTATCTTTTGTCCCACGTGCAATTTCCGACTGCTTTTTTACGATTATTGGCTTTATCCATGTTGTGAGTCGAGTACTTAACTAGTATTAACAAGCATAGACATCGTTATCCAAGTCAAAATAGAAAATTTTAAGCAAGATTAACATGCATGCGAAAATCCAAGAACTGAACGGAACTTTCTACTTATCAGTTTTTTTCGATTAATTTAACTTTCTTGATATTTCARTTACCTCACTTTTTATGCGGCAGGTGTCCTCGTTCTATATGTCGATTGTCTGGTAAAAAGATACATGAGCATCAAATACCCTTTCTATCCATTCAAACCGATCGCAAAGCAAGGTGACTACAATTTGTTCAATTTTTGAATATATTATGGTCTAAATTACATTGCTTGTGATCAGAGTGGTTACTATGGTGACGTAATAAAATCGCCATAGCAACCAAATGAACGCGACCTTTAGCGGAAAACTCTGGACGTTTCTAAGGCAATCTTAGTGAGACTTGGTGGTTTATAACAAAACTATATAGTACTGTTATAGTAGTACTAGTAAGTCGAACTGCATGGACTTCCTGTGCTTTGCAACTCCTTTGATGGAAGGCTTCTAATCCATGATATAACAGCTATTCAATTCCTTTAACTTCTTTTATATCTTTTTTATTGTGCGATATAGTGGTTCCAAGTGCATTTTCTGAAAATATACAGAACAAGAATAATTAAAATTACAAAGGAAATCATTGATTTTTGAATAAGGTAGGAGGAGTGCAAAAAGTACCGATTTTTAGATTTTGGTCCATCAAATATCAAACTGAGATACAACATGGCCGTAGCAAAGGGTCCGGCAGGCAATTAAAAAATGTTTTGTTAAGAATAATAGAAATTAACAAACAAAGACGTCAAAAAATCTTAAAAAATGACTAAATTATTGTGATAACCACATAGAGCGGATTTCGTATGAGTGGGACACCGTTACCGCACGGTTACCGCACAGTTACCGGACCTGGCCTGCACAATTTTGGTGAACCAATGGGGCACTAGAATTTGGTTACAGTACGATTACGGTCACCGTACAGTACCGTCCGTTTCCCACTCATACGAAATCCGCTCTATCATTTTCAAGGCATCAAGTGATGGACAATGACGTGTTGCAACCAGACCCCCCCTCCCTCCCTCTTCCCTCAGAACACACCACACACACCCTCCTCCTTCTCCAAATCTTTCTAGTCTTGCTTAGGTACAAGTCCCTTTTAATTGATTGAAACAGAGAAAACAACGTTACCTTACAATGAGCAATGGGAGGGGAGGGATGGTGTATGCTAAGCGCAATTATTATCAGAAGCGGGTTTAAGAATCGAAAGAGGGTCATGTCTAAACTTATTACTCGAAAGAGAGGTGGGCAACGTCCAAGTTCATTAGGTAGGAGTGGGGGTAACATCTCGCTTTAGTAATCTTAAACTGATCACAAATTGTTCAAAAGCATTTCGAAAATCTCCCAAAGTCGACTTAACTTTTGAGTGGTATTAATGTAAATTTACTAAAATCGTATCAAATCGCCACAAAGTATCTCAATGTTACGKCGAATACTCCGGAAGTTTCTCAAATTCACCCAAAGATGCTCTAAATTGTCAAAATCGCTTTAGATTTTGAGTGCTTTTGTACTTTACTTCTTTACTTGTTTACAGGAACACTACGGAGGGCTGGGGCAAAAAGGCGGTCTTAAAATGCAGAAACTGTGTTTTTTTTCACAATTTGTTTTTTACATAACAGTCCGAGCGTCTGACAATTTCTGTACTCTTGTAATTCGATTCGCGGCAACTAATAAAATCCAATGCTATGATTGCCAATGATTGGGCTACGGAAGAATTTTGTTATTCAACTTTACGAGCCGGTTACTTCATGTCCTTCATGATCGTAAATGTTCGTTGAATCGGAGGCATTAATATTCACGAGTAACTACTTTAAATTATGCTGTTAAACTGGACACGGTAAGTTCCATGGAGTTATACTTGTTTTCTACGTTGTATTCAAAAGTACAGTCGAGCCTCGATTTTCCGAATTATGCGTACTGTTTTGACCCCCGGGGGGGGGGGGGGGGTACTCGAACATATTTTGGATAGGTACGTGCCGCCAGCGGTCTAAATCCCTGACCCTGTTTAAGACACTAAAAAGTAAAAATCCATACCCTGTTCAAGAAAAATCGGAAAAATAAGGAATAGCTATCTACGCCGCAACCATCTAAACTGCAAATATACTAACATCCATCAAAGACGATAGGAAGTTTTTGATAACACGTTAATTCTGGGACAGTGAAACGGTATTTCTACTATTTCTACGGTGTTATGAAAATATTATCCTGTCCAAGACACACAAAAAAATTATATCGAGACAATTTCGGGTGAAATGTATACCCTGTTTAAGACAGCAAGGCCAAAAACCATACCCTGGCCAGCGGCACGTCCCCGTATAGCAAATATATGGGAGTACCCCCCCCCCCCCGGGGGTTTTGACTGAGCTCCTTGAGTGTGCATTTCGAGTTAAAATGAAAGGAAATCATAAAGATTCAGGTGAATGATGCCGAGAAAAGTGTTATTAATAGACCTTTGAAAGCTTTGGTACATATATTTGTCTGTAGGAAGTATATACTATACGTACTGTGTACTATAGTTAATCAATAGAGTTTTTGGCCATTGAGAAGGAAATGATCAAGTTTTATCTTAGATCATCTTATTGTCACTTTTGATTTTTGCGAACAGTCTTTTCTTCTCATTAACTTTGACTTTGTCCCCGTCTTTCAAGTGATATTAATTTATTCCCCCTCTCTCTGGACTCTCCCCCTACTGACAATAGTCTCCTTCACGGATACTTTCGCCATCTTGAAAGGTAGCCGTGCCTTTGCACCGAAGCGAGACGACCGTTGAGCGTGCAATGATAGATACCTGTGAATAATTGTCTATAGGTGTGAAAGAAGGTTTCTATCATTTCACGCTCAACGGTTGTCTCGCTTCGATAACAACTGAAGGCACGGCTACCTTTCAAGATGGCGCAGGTAACCGTGAAACATTGTAAATGTGTTACTTACACATCAACATCAATTGAAGATGAGTGTGTTGGTCTGCATTTCTCTCATATGGTCACATCTTGGTTGACTTCGAGCTGGCAGTCTTGTTTGTTCTGTGCGCAAGAATTTTTTCCCAGACCCAAGACGCGCAGAAAGATCGTAATCAACTGTCATCATGCAGGCAAACGCTCTCCAAACCAGATGATGTGAGGTTTCACTTCCRTCCAATTAATTTAGTAAAATTATGAGGGAAATTTGGTGAGTTCCTGGGAAGAGAGCATCATTTGGTCAGCTAGTCGCATCGCTCAAAAAGATATTATGGAATTGATAACTCGAAATTGTGAGAGTAGAGAATATTCTTCTGAGAGGGGCAGTGAATGGTACCAGTCTCGATCGGCAAAAACAAATTAGTATCGTTTTCCACTTAAGTTTGTCTGTCTTGAATTCTTTAATTATTGTGAAGCATAGAAACTCTGTAAGTAATATATACAATATGAGCGGGCGATCTGTATGTAATATACAACTCTCTTCATGGGCTATGATTTCTATTGTGTTTTGTCTTATGAATATTAATGAGTTTTATAATATGCTATAATAAATTATTATTATTAATTATTATTTAAGTCTCTCGTCTCAAAGTGTCATTGGGTTCGAACATAGTCTAAGGCTATATGTTATGCAGGTTACATGTACAAGGGTGAATGTGCATCATCTAAGCATCGGATTTAAAAAAATGCACACGTCGCAGAGTAAGACATTGGTCAATCTCTTTATTGGTGTTTTTGAAAGCAACAAATGCTCGGTYACGGATTTCGGGAAATTCTCACATAGTCTCAATCTCGATTTTCAAAACCTCAATGTCTTCATTTCGGAAAATCTAACCAGAACCATTAGCAACTGACCTTCTACCGGAACTAGAAATATCTATAATTCGTAACTGTAATGTATAATAAAGCTATGCACATTGGAAAACATGTTGTTGTGAAGTCTGTATTTTTCTTGACAACACTAGAAAAACCATGGTTGATAATGTATTGCTCTCAAAATAGCAAAACCTCCCATATATTTTATTTGTTAAATTCTGATGAAAAGTACAAGAACTCAGTGAGCGAGCGTCTTTCCCGCCATTTATACCTTTTGGAAAGGAAAGCAAGAAAAAGCTGTCATACACTAGTCGAAATGTCGTTAACTTGCGTTTCAAGCATTTTCGATCTACTTCTGTTTCAGCGTTTTAGCCTAAAATAAAAAAAAAACATCAGCTTAACGGAGTTCGCTGTCTAATTCAATGTTGTCCGATTTAAATAATTTAACATTTCAAGCTAGAAAAATTGTCTGAAAGAATTTGTTTGACGCTAGTACTGTGGCGGTTTAAAATGAAAGGCGAATTGTTTATTTTCATTTTGCTCAAAGCAAGAATCTGTTGGTGTTAGCAGGCATAACATTGAAATTTACTATTAATAATGAGAAAGATGAATTATACGTAATGAAGATCCTCACGTTTCTCCCAGACAATTCAAACCAAACGAAAACAAAGAGAAATTACACAAAGCAAAGTTGAAAACAAATACAGATTGATAAATCTTTAAAGCTATATTGATGATTTCCTTTAAAATAAATACAACGCGGTTAGCCAAGCTGTCATTTTTTCGTACTCCTGACTAGTTTGAAAGTCAATGAATAAAACATTTGAAGATTTGGATTATCAGCGCCATAAATGCTGAGAGCTATCGCGCGCAGACAAAAGCAGATATCACAATCACTGTTAACCACAGAAACAGGATCAGAAGAATTATACTTTAAACTTTCTGATAATAGGAGATTCCTATCAGTGCCTCTTGTAATTTCGATTTGCCTTTAGGATGTGTACAAAAACTTCCCGCGCTCGTGCATATTTCACAGCGACTGCCGTCCATTATTCGCAAATATTCCAGTCTCAAACAAATTAAAGAATAAAATTATGCTATAAAAAAAACATGAATGAAAAAAAATCTTTTGGATACAAAACAGTTTCCTGTAGTGTAATGAATAATAAAATATCTAAGCCGACAATTGTTTTGGATGCTTTTGTATTTCTAGAAATTGAATAGTATGTGGCCGACGTCGCTTGGCGCGAAACACCCAGAAAAATCCACATCAAAATCGAGAGCATTACTAGGACTCAAAGCCTAACCGTTTTATACACCGTAAAAAGTAGGTGTAAACGAAAGCACACTTTGTTTTATTGCTTTAAACAATAAGATTAAGATTACAGACTGTCAGCGATTTAGTCTCCGAACATATTACCTTGTCAATTTATACTGTTTTGTATCCGCATATCCGCCTTCTCGCCTCARTTACATGCAGCGATTGCAATTTCGGTGTAATCAAGGAGTTTGCGGCTTTGGTACAAGTCTCTGAACATAAAACATGTCACGCATCTTCTAAACAGGTTGCTGTAAATTTGAATGCTGAATGAGCAGGTGCCGAACATTTTCAATCCACCACCAGGCTCAATACACCCTTTCATGTGTGTAATTATAAAATGGAACGGAAAATTATTCTAATTGGCAGTTATTTACCAGTGTGTGGGAGCTGTTTTATTTTCAAGGAACATTGAAGCTATAAGGAACTCAGTCATTAGCACTTGGGTGAAAACACGTCCAGGTATCATAGTTTCAAGTCGGTGTGTTTTCGATGGTTTTCTATATTATTATTTCCACTTATGACTTGATTCGTCCAATACCTTCCCCATTGCGACATATAACGCGTATTTATTGGGCTTTAATAATTAAGTTTTTGTTTATATTTGAAGACAAAGAAGGTTGGATAAGTCACAGGATGGGAATGCCGGACCGGGGCGTCAAACAAGGTGATACAGTATCCATAACAACTAAGAAATGACGTCGCAGAAGCATTGGTTACATTGGTCATTTCAGCCAATCAGAACGAGAAATTGAACTTTGATTTGGCGCCGAGCCCTGGACCACCTGCTCGATGTTGTACAATTCACCTGTGGAATTATTAAAAGATGTTTAGTAGCCGATGTCATCTTATTCTCCTCAAATGATGCTTCATGTTTAGTGCACATCAAAGCATTGGAAACCTGGCATCGAAAATACTATGAATGCAACCACTAAAGGCAACTCGCCCCTTCAACTAAGACTAAACGTAGCTGTACCTTTTGTATCTATCTTGACTRTCATTGGATTGACGTCTCTTGCCACAAATGCGATAATCGTTGCGATAATTTGCAAGTATTGGAAGAGGAGAAAAGGCTATGAGCTGTTCATCTTGCAAGGCGCAGTAATCGATCTCGTAACTACGGTTATCACAATCCCCTTTTGGGTTTTAATTGCCCTTCATCATAACAAGTTCGACAATGGAATCGTATGCCAGCTGAATGCGTCTGTATGCTTCATAGACATTGTTGCCCCTGTGATATTCTTAATGTTGTCGGCAGCGTACAGGCACACCGCGTTAATGGGACACGAAGCATATAAACGTATATTTACAATTCGACGCTCTTACACTTGGGTCCTGTTGTCCTGGATATTGAGCATTCTGCTTTGTTTGCCGCAAAATTTCGCGTGGGTTTCTATGCCYGAAGTAACGTGCATCCCGGATTTTGTATCAAACATTTGGTTTTCAATGTACATGCTTGTTTTCTTCTTCTTCTTACCGCTGGGTGCAACAATTTACGCGCACGTTTATGACATATTCTTATTTCAGCCTGAGAAAATGTCAAACAAGACAGGACCTTTGTATCATCTTTGTACAAAACGCGCTCTCCGCGGGAAGGAGCTTGAGATTCAAAAATCCATGTTAACAGTGGTTGTGGTACATACATGTTGTTGGTTGCCGTATGTGTTGCTTTCAATCGCCCAGAACTTGGCAGATAGTAGTGGATTTTATGTAATGGGGGTTTCCTTTCATTTTATTACTCTGACATTTGGTTTAGCAGGGACGTCGATAAAGGGGACATTSTACTGCTTTGAAAATCCTCGGATAAAATCACACATTAAGGAACTGTTTGGATTGGGGGACAGGACTGTACGGAGAAACATAGAAACCGATGGTTAAAAATTCACCGCCTCTGGGATCTTGTTTACTGTGAATTTCGATAACAAGGTCACTGCGGTAGATTCGTGGATTCTCAAACAACACGAACAAGAAAGACTGAATGCCCTTGCCTTCAGCAATATAACAAATACACCGATTATCTAAAACACGATTGAAATCTACCTCGGCCGGTGGTAAATGAGTTGATGCCAAGAAATTACCACAATAATTAAACTCAAAATAATATTTTGAAAATCTTCCAATTCAATATGAATTAATAAAACACAAATTCAGATGATTGTACGTTTCTAAGGAAAAATGCAAGCTTAAAGGAATGTTGTATTATTATGATGAATATGTAATTACACACAGCAAGGCTGGCCTACAAAGACTGTGTTCATCAATTGTGCGTCACCCCCTTCGAGCATGACGCTGAAACATTTTTTTATCCAACAGTATTGATTGACTTTATATATTAAAATTCAGACTTAGTTTGTTTCATCCATTAAAGCTATCCGTTCTCGTTGAAACTTATATTGACAAACTCGTTAGACGTTATCAAGTTCAAAAAAGAAATTAATCAAGCTTGTTTGTTTACGTCCTTTGGCTAAGGGTTGGGGTTATTTATTCAAAGGTCGAGAGTTTTCTGTATTCACAGAAAAAAAATACTACCAAAAAATGACAGTGATRCTAATTTACGAGGTCACTCAACCACTTTAGAAATCCAAATTCTAAAAAGGCCCTGATTTTGATGACATAACACAACGAACAATAACGTATTAACGCTTTGTTTCACCTCTGATGAGCTCGCGAGAAGGACGCTCCAYTGCGAAAATGAATGGTTATCCCCTTTACTTTCAGCCAACACACCGTGCCTTGATATCAAAATCCATCATATACTAAGTTAATTTTTTCTACTGCTWAACTATTCGGTACAAATTAAAATGACTACACGAGCTTTCCAATTGTATCAATTTATGTGTTTTTCCATACATGGAATTAAACACTTAGTCAAAATGATCAAAACATGTTACCGCGGCCTTTTAGCGTAATGATTGACTCAGTATTTTTTTTTTTTTCAAATTTGACTGAATTCTTATKGCTTGTCACGTACTTACGGCACAGAATATTTTCAATTCAGAATTTGTTATGATGAGTCTCTGATCAATTATTTATCATTTGACATAACACCTTTCTAAAATCATAAAAACATTTCTCTAAGTAAAAGTTATAAAAAGAAAGGAGTTTGAACTGATTGTGAAGAAAAAGTATACCGCTGCGAATTACTCTTTATAATAATTGTTACAWGTGCTAATTTTAATCGTTCAACTGGCTAACGAGAACTAATTTACGTGATTTGGGGAAATCTCTTGGTTAACCAGGGGTGACGTTTATGTCTTTCTACCAAATGAGTTCATCACTATTCTTGATGATAAATTGTCCGGTGTTAGTAGCTTTTAGGGACGATCTAACACTATGTATTACTGAAACACCTCAAAAGAAGATCTAAAATGGCTGAAATATACAGCTCACAATAGGAAAGTGATGGAAAAATTGAATGATCTTTCATTCGATCAGTGCGGCGTTTTTGATGCTGACAGGCGGTGAGACCGGATTATCCTTTTCTCCGTTCCTAATTTAAGACCAGAAAAATAGTGCTGTATTTTRATCCCACAAACATTTTCACGTCGAACCTYATCAGTGTCCAAGAACTTTTAATCAGTAAATCAAGTTTATTACTMTGACCTCGACGTATTACCGAAAAAGGAATGGCTATTGAAGAAGTCTTGGTAACTAGCTATATCATGTATAGAGAGCATTCATTATATCATTGTCGAAGGAATTACATACCATTGTTCTAATTCATCAAAAGAAGACAAAGGATTTTACAATAATTTGACTAATTGTCACGGATACATTGAACTCAGAGCATTGAACTGACATAGGCATGCACTAGCCACGGGAAAGGGGAGGGGTTTAGTTTAGGGTTTCATCGGGTTTATAGAGTACTGGGCCGCGGGGTTGTTCAAAGCCTGATTACCGTTAATCTAGGGTTAGCCTCATAGGTTTTTTGAGTTAACCCAGGATTAATACTACTCAAGCTTTGAAAAACCCAGCCCTGAGAGATACGATTTTCTCTAGTGAACTGTTAGCGCAAACAGAGAGGAGCTTCTCTTTATGCTTTCTTCATCGCATCCGCGAGTAAAAAGCTGTCAGCTTATGAGTTTGGGTCCTAGGAGATGAAGACTAGGGACAGAAAGAGAGAATTGCAATATATTTTTTCACCATATTATATGTTCACAAACATATGGTCTATCCAAAAGTACATAGTTATGTACTTCTGGTCTATCATAACTCCTACGTTCTGGTTAGCCCTAAGCTTCGGAACTATTTGCGTATTTGCGAAAGTGTGAGGTTGAGAAGGTACCATTTTTTTTAGAGTGAAAGTAAACGTTTTGTACGTCCTTTTGTTTCATAACTTTAATTTAAGTATTTTAAAAATAAAGGGCTTTCCGGGATAAAAATTGGAGAAACAACCATAAATAAATTTACGCGCTATAAATAAATGTGCGCGCTATGATTCTTTAGCATATTAAAATGTTGGGCTGCCTGTATCAGATTAACCTCAAACCGCGCAAACCCTGTGACACCTCGTCTGAGCGTGCGGATTGTACTTTTTTTTGTTATTAAACCAAATATTCCAGGCATTATAAAAGATACAAAAAGAGATTCTGAAAATAGCTACGACTACGTACCGTCCGTACCGTCGGTAGTGTCGTAGAAGGACTTCGGACAAGAGCGGAGAGTAATAATCGATTCTTATCCAAATGTGCTTAAATCTTACCTTATTCGCAAGCACCTATAAACTCTTTTAGGGTGATTTTCATAACTTTTAACACTTTTATAAGCCGTAAACTGCCAGATATGGTAGAGAACGAACAAAAGCAAAAGTCGACCATCTTTGAACTTTGTTTTCCTTGGAAACCTCGCCTTATTTTAGAAGCATCACCACAGGCAACCCGAATTCAAAAGCTTGTCTACGGTCATATATTGCTTGTTAATTTTTTGAGAATTAATCATAGAATAAAAATGGGATTGCCTTTCAGTTTTCCTAAAAATGAAAATAATATATATTCATATGAAATAAATAAAGAAAAAAACACATGAAGAATGAAGCAAAAAAATCTTGTTCACGAGGTTTATATACGGTTTCCCTGTGCTGGCTTGGTAGCTCAGCAGCCCTATATTCAAATGGACTCCCCAAAGATAAGTCTTCCTCTTTCACGAATTACACATGGCGCCCAAGGGTAAGYAATTCCGAGAGAGTGACATTCAACGTCTATTATTCTTGATTCTAAAAGCAAAAATAAAGTTCTAAAATGTAGAATACTTAGAAGAAGTGTCATTTGGTATTATTGTTGCTTTTTATTGATTATCTGCCCCTTTTGTGTACTAAAATATTGGGTTTAAAAATTGTCTTATCGGCTTACTTGCACACGTGAGGATCACTCCAGTTCTTTCTATTAGTTTCCTTTTTTTGATCGTGTTAAAATTGCAAATGATTTCTTACTTTTTTCTGAGATGAAAGCGAATTTGTTGATCTTGAAACCTTATGGTACAGTCATGTTTTTATTAGTTCTGTCGTAGAAAAAAATTGATTTAGAATTTCTCAACTCTACAAGTTTATTCCAAAATGGATATAATTGTACATGTATGCAGTGTACATTATCAAGATGGATACTTTTGCTCTGTTAACTTGCACTTTATTCGATGTTTGATTCTTGCAAGATAGACAAATATTGTAGTCCATTAAAATGGTAAAGTGATGAAACATCTGTTGGAATTCCTGTTTTGTGATGGTTGATATGTCTACCAATCAATCTGGTGTTTGTGGCCCTATATKTTGTGAAAAGGCTTGTGGKTTTTGTCAGTGGATTCCATCAACTTTTGATTGTTTGGTGGCTTTCCATTCAGACTTCAAAAGACAATAAAGAATATATTAAGATTTGATTCAGAAGTTTGCTTACCTGCCACTCTGTAGTTTACACTGCAGCATGGAATATCATCTGTCTTTTAAATATTTTAGAGTATCAACTTTACTCAGGTTTCAATCACTTTCTGAGTTTCATTTATGGTATAACATGTATATTAAGTAAAGGTACTAGGCCAATATTAACTGTTCTCCTGTGACTCTAGGTAAGTCCAAGGAGACCAAAGCCAGTGCCAAGAGCACTGAAACTTCAAAGGCTCAAAAAGCCAAGAAGGCCGTCCTGAAGGGTGTCCAAAAGACTGGTCAAAGGAAAGTCAAGACGACTGTAAAATTCCATCGTCCAAAGACCCTCAGTCTCAGACGAAACCCTAAGTACCCTCGTCTCTCGGCTCCCAGAGAAAACAAGCTTGACCATTATGCCATCATCAAACACCCTCTTACAACTGAGTCAGCGATGAAAAAGATTGAGGACAACAACACTCTTGTTTTTATTGTTGATATAAGAGCAAACAAGCCTCAAATCAAGGCTGCTGTAAAGAAGCTGTATGATATTGATGCATCAAAAGTAAACACCCTAGTCAGGTAAATAACTAACAGTCAGTAATTAACTTTTTTATTCAAGAAATATATTTTACCACACTTGTGTAAATTCTCGCGCACTGATTGTCTGATTAGAGTGTGTCAATACACACTGTGCTAACGCTATCGCTCGCTCAATTGAAAGAAAAAAAGAATGATTTTCGCTAATTTTTAGACTAAAAATGTGGTAAAAAAAATTGCACACAGATTTTCGTTGTATGCCCTTCATGAGATAGACTTGTAGAAACTCCTCCCTTATATTGAGATCAAGACAAAATAGAGACTCACTAACTGCAATTTTGCAAGAGCTATTTGGGATTCAGGTTTTCATTTTTTGGCCCTGAATTAACTTTTTGGGTTTTATATTTCTGATTGCAGGCCAGATGGGCAGAAGAAAGCATATGTACGACTTGCCCCAGATTATGATGCATTGGATGTTTCAAACAAGGTATAGCTTTAGTTAAAGTGTTTGGTATTTTTCTCATCATATGAGAAAATGCATACAGTTTAAACCACTGCCAAGTATCGTCTGGAGTCTGGAAACAGGAAAATACTTCACTGATTGGATTAGTGTTATTTTCAAGTTTGACTCCATTTGGTGGCATACCCAACAAGTACCGGTAACATTTTATTGAAAAAAGAATGTTTGGTTTTGGGGATGCTGCTTCAAAGTTCAATTCCTTTCTTTGTTTTTTCTTCGAGTTTTAAATGTTTGCTGYGATATGCTCCAATTTATTTATGCTTGTTCTTGTCTTCGGATCTGTTCCTTTTTTGCTTTAAGTGGCATCRATATTCSCACTCAGCACCAGTCCCTTTATGAATTTCGGAAAAGCCAATTAACATGGTACAGTTGTAAAGATATAAAGTTAAGGACAAAATTATTTGCATTGAATTGTTCTTACAATTTCCAGGAAGGAAATTCATTTTAACACTCCAGATAAACCACAAATTAAACGTTATTTCCACTGTAACKAAAATTTACCTCTTGGAATTGAATAAATCKTGCAAAAATTAAAAACAAGAAAGTGATATATGCTAATATTCTGTTTTTATCTTTACAACTGAAAACATTCTCATACCCAGATCCTTCTCAGTTTCCAAATGGAAAAGCAGGACTCTGGTTGGAGATGATACCAGACCCTGAATCTGAGTCAAATCAAAAAATGATTTAACCAGAGTCTGGGTTTTCTGTTTAGAAAATGGGAAAGATCTTGGTATGAGAATGAACTGAACAATGTTAATGGGATGAACTGTACATAATGCAAAGTCTGTATGAAATTTTAATCATATATTATATCATTATATCTGGCCCATCATGGTTCATATTAATAACACCACTATTCTACTTTCAATACTCGTGTCTTAAAAGACAAATAAACTGCAAACAATATTTTTAAAATGTGAAGTATTATTTTCTCTGATGTTGTTTTATGTTTTTCTTTTCAGATTGGAATTATCTAAAGTGAATGTCTATGGGTAGTTGAAAAATAATAAAATTCAAAATTGTTATATCTGTCTCTTTGAATTTGAGGTTTTGAAAAAAGTGCTTGTAACTCTTCCTCTTCCTCAAAAGAAAACATCGGAATAACCTTAAACAGTTTTATACCTAGATCAAAGGTCTAAGATCTCCTACACTGAAATTTTGAGAAAAGCCAGGGCCATTTCAAAACATGGTGGGGCCAACATGTCAAAGCAATACAGCAGTTGAGCTTACAATGATGGATACCTGTGAATAATTGTCCAAGATCTGAACAAAAGGTATCTATCACTGCAGGCTCAACTCCTGTCTCACTTTGATGCAAGGGTTTGGCTACATTTCATCGTGGCACTTGGTAGACTTTCAAAATGTACAACACTTATTGTCCACGAGTTGGCAAAGTGATTTAGGGAGGAACAAACCTGAAATCTTCCATATCCCTCAAGGTTTTTTTCCTGTTTTTCCCTCCTATAGACACATCAGGGTTGTGGTTACATGCCAAAAAATGCAAATGGTGAGTATCTCTGAAGAGATTACAGCCGTGTACACCTCTCAACCTGGACACTTCAAGGACATTTCCCCCAACTTGTTTTCCTTTACTGGCCCCTGTTATTTAAATCTCAGTTACTTTAAAAAGCAGTTTAAAGAGGGTGGATGACTCAAGAATAAAGCACCCTAACACTCCCCTGGATCCACTCATGAATAGGCTATTTCTAATTCTTGTTGTGTTCCTTCCTGGCCAAATCAAGGCACTTATTTATCAATTGAAAACTAAAGTTTAATTTTCAGATGGGACTGTGTCCAACGAAAGCTGAAAGTAATGTTCAACACAGGCACCTCTGAAAATCAGATGATTTTTTTTAACAAAAAACAATACTTTATTTACATTCATTTTAAGTCAACTAAACACAAAGAATATATTGCTACCCGCAATTAGAACTACTATTGGCGGGT